TAAATTGAAGTGAATTGAAATTTTTTTTTTTTTCAAAACTTTTTTTAACTTTTATTCACCAAAACGTGCATACACAATAAAAAAAGATACAAAAAGAGGGGAACTGTGGTACGATACAGTTTTAAAAGCAGATTTAGACAAAAACAAACAAACAAACAAAAGAAAAGGAAAAGGGTCGGTAAATAAAATGAATGAATTAAAAAGGGGGACAAAAGAAGTGAATGAGCAAACAGGACAAATAAAAACATGGAGGACAGTATAGTAACAAAATGATGTAAAATAAAACTGATGGGATTGGTTGTAAACATGTTGTTTGTGTTTGTTTGTTTTTCACTTTGTATGAGTGCTAACACGATGAAATACAGACTGTTTGGAAATGATTTCCTCTCTCGTCCTCGTTTACCTGGTTCATCTGTCCGTCACCTTCAGGAGGCTAAGTCTCTGATTTCTCAGAGAGCGTTTAATCCCAGAGACGTCTTTAAGCAGAGGGAGCAGAGCTTGGAGGGCAGCGACAGGTGGTCTCCTGCAGGATCCAGACCAGGTGAGAGACCCTGATCCACCTCAGCCTCACCTGCTGGAACATGACCTTAACGTTGTTCACGTGTCGCTCTCAGGGAAGCTGCAGAGTCCATTCTTTGCTCAGAAATCCTTCGACAGAGAAACCCTGGAGCGGCCCGGGTCGCCACCCGCCCCAGCAGCAGTCCGGGTCCTCCCCATGACCCCCCTGTCTCCCTTCACACCTGTCTCACCTGAGCTGTCTCACTCACCTGTTCCAGCTGTCTCCCCGACCCCCCCAGAGAGGAGCAGCTCACCTGTTCCACCTGCAGGTCACACAAAGAGTCTGTTTAGCTGCTCCTAACCAATCAGCTCGATGATACATTCATGAAAACTCTCACTTCCTGTCTCTGTGTTTGACTCTGTGATCACTTCCTGTCCCAGGCGCTGCGTACACGGAGGAGGAAGAGGAGTGGTCGGATGAGTTTGATGACGATGCAGACGACGCTCCTTCAGGTTCGATTGATCTTATTGGACGAGAGGACTTCCTGTTTTTTCTTTGAGATATTTGAATAGTGAAGTTGTTGTTGATCACAGGACTCGCTCCGGCTCAGGACGATCTGCGTGAGGCGCCGCAGCCCGTCGTTACAGAACACGATCTGCGTGAGGCGCCGCAGCCCGTCGTTACAGAACACGATCTGTATGAAAATATTTACCACAACACGCCATCAGTGAGTACCGTGTGGTTGTGTCAGTGTTGGCCGCCTGGCGCTCGACATGTGACATCACGGGTTCCGTCTCGGCACTCGTTAGTGTCATTTTTAAAAACACAAGCAGGTCAATAAAGTTTTTAATGTTTTTATAAAAAACAGGCTGAAGAAACGAATGTGGAGGCTGGAGGACAAAACATCAGAGCCAGAGCTGTTTATGACTACCAGGCTGGTATGTACACACACACACACACACACACACACACACACACACACACACACACACACACACACACACACACACACACAATGTTTCACCTTCACTTCTCCTCCACAGTGGACGACACTGAGATAACCTTTGACCCTGATGACATCATAACGGGGATAGAGATGGTGGATGAGGGTTGGTGGCGAGGATTCGGACCAGACGGAAACTACGGCATGTTCCCCGCCAACTACGTGGAGCTGATCTAGAAAACGTCGTCTTTGGTATCAGACAGGAAACGGGTTAAATAAACTTCATTCATCTTTATTAGTCTAACTCAAGGTTTGTTGTTTCTGAGTTCTGTAAACAATCACAATAAACATGTTTCCATTCTTCACATCCATCAGAGCGTAACGTCATTAATCTGTCCACGCTGCAGCTCATCAGCTCTGATTCCATCTGTTATTAGAAGACCAAGC